TAGGTCTGATGCTGTGCTCTTTTCTTAAGTGGATGTGACCTGACTGGGTGGGTCATTGATTTAAGCCCGCAGGTGACATGGACCTGCCTCACATGGGCCAGTAGGCCTGCTGCAGTGTTCCTTCTTATGTTCTTAAGTTTTGGGCCTACCCTGTCTGTCTGATGTGTTTTTGCTAGGTCTGCATCAATTATTGGGGCAGTCTACACTATGTTGCAGTCATTCTTGGTTATATTTTATTATCCAAGAAGATAAAAATTGGATTTTTTTGTGTGTGTGACGGATACATAATGGGGACCAAGTGTTAAACAGGAGATGCCTGGGGACATCATTAATGAACAGAAGAAAGGTTTTTTAAATGGTTGGAATGCTTACGGTGTTTATTTTGGATTTTGTGTGTGTGTGTGTGTGTGTGTGTGTGTGTGTGGGGTGTGTGTGTGTGTGTGTGTGTGTGTGTGTGTGTGTGTGAGTGAGTAAGTAAGTAAGTAAGTAAGTAAGTAAGTGAGTAAGTAAGTGAGTGAGTGAGTGAGTGAGTGAGTAAGTGAGTGAGTAAGTAAGTAAAGTAAGTAAAATTAGCCAAATTACTGACTTCTGGATTAAATTGCTAATGCACAAATTGCGCCCAGTCCACCAACTTTGCGCCTGTGTAATTCTGTAAGTTTTCCATCAAATTTCACATTTTTGCTGTCATTACCTCTAGAAAAAGGTTCTCTACATTTTCAGAGGATAATTTTTTTTAAAACTCATAAACCCAAACATGGATGTTTGTCAGTGGAAAGTTTTAAGGTGTCCCAAACTGTAAATTACTAATTTTGTGTGTGTGTGTGTGTGTGTGTGTGTGTGTGTGTGTGTGTGTGTGATGTGAGATGTAAGTGAGAAGTGTGAGAGTAGTGAGAGTGAGTGAGAGTGTAGAGAGTGAGATGAGTAAGTGGTGAGAGTGAGAAAGAGTAAGATGCATAATAGTGAGACAGTGAGGAGTTTTGTAGAGCAGTGAATTGGAGTGCAGATTGGTGTAGTAGTCAGTGAGTTGTTCAGTAAGTTTCAGTGAGTCAGTGTCAGTCAGTAGTAGTAGTAGTAGTAGTGTAGTCGTAGAGTGGTAGTCAGTGAGTAGTTGTAGTGTCAGTCAGTAGTGAGTAGTCAGTAGTGAGTCAGTAGTGAGTAGTTCAGTCGAGTCGTGAGTCAGTAGTCAGTCACGTCAGTGAGCAGTCAGTCAGTCAGTCAGTAGTCAGTGGTCAGTAGTCGTCAGTCAGTAGTCAGTCAGTCAGTCGTCAGTCAGTAGTCAGTTCGTCAGTGTCAGTACAGTCAGTCAGTCGTCAGTCAGTCGTCAGTCAGTCAGTCAGTAGAGTCAGTCGTCAGTCAGTCAGTCAGTCAGCAGTCATTTAGTCAGTCAGTCAGTCAGTCAGTCAGTAGTCAGTCAGTCAGTCAGTCAGTCAGTAGTCAGTCAGTCAGTCAGTGTCAGTCAGTCAGTCAGTCAGTAGTCAGTCAGTCAGTCAGTCAGTCAGTCAGTCAGTCAGTCAGTCAGAGAGTGTCAGTCAGTCAGTCAGGTCAGTCAGTCAGTCAGTGCAGTCAGTCGTAGTCAGTCAGTCAGTGTCAGTCAGTCAGTCAGTCGTCAGTAGTCAGTGCAGTCAGTCAGTCAGTCAGGTCAGTCAGTCAGTCAGTCAGTCAGCAGTCAGTCAGTCAGTCAGTCAGTCAGTCAGTCAGTGTCAGAGTCAGTCAGTCAGTATCAGTCAGTCAGTCAGTCAGTCAGTCAGTCAGTCAGTCAGTCAGTCAGTCGTCAGTCAGTCAGTCGTCAGTCGTCAGCAGTCAGTCAGTCAGTCAGTCAGTCAGTCAGTCAGTCAGTCAGTGCAGTCAGTCAGTCAGTCCAGTCAGTCAGTCAGTCAGTCAGTCAGTCAGTCAGTCAGTCAGTCAGTCAGTCAGTCAGTCAGTCAGTCAGTCAGTCCTGTCAGTCAGTCAGTCAGTCAGTCAGTCAGTCAGTCAGTCAGTCAGTCAGTCAGTCAGTCAGTCAGCAGTCAGTCAGTCAGTCGTCAGTCAGTCAGTCAGTCAGTCAGTCAGTCAGTCAGTCAGTCAGTCAGTCAGTCAGTCAGTCAGTCAGTCAGTCAGTCAGTCAGTCAGTCAGTCAGTCAGTCAGTCAGTCAGTCAGTGAGTCAGTCAGTCAGTCAGTCAGTCAGTCAGTCAGTCAGTCAGTCAGTCAGTCAGTCGCAGTCAGTCAGTCAGTCAGTCAGTCAGTCAGTCATCGTCAGTCAGTCAGTCAGTCAGTCAGTCAGTGGTCAGTCAGTCAGTCAGAGTCAGTCAGTCGTCAGTCAGTCAGTCAGTCAGTCAGTCAGTCAGTCAGTCTCAGTCAGTCAGTCAGCCCAGTCAGTCAGTCAGTCAGTCAGTCAGTCAGTCAGTCAGTCAGTCAGTCAGTCGTCAGTCAGTCAGTCAGTCGTCAGTCAGTCAGTCAGTCAGGTCAGTCAGTCAGTCAGTCAGTCAGTCAGGTCAGTCAGTCAGTCAGTCAGTCAGGTCAGTCAGTCAGTCAGTCAGTCAGTCAGTCAGTCAGTCCAGTCAGTCAGTCAGTCAGTCAGTCAGTCGGGTCAGTCAGTCAGTCAGTCAGTCAGTCAGTCAGTCAGTCAGTCAGTCAGTCAGTCAGTCAGTCAGTCAGTCAGTCAGTCAGTCAGTCAGTCAGCTCAGTCAGTCAGTCAGTCAGTCAGTCAGTCAGTCAGTCAGTCAGTCAGTCAGTCAGTCAGTCAGTCAGTCAGTCAGTCAGTCAGTCAGTCAGTCCGTCAGTCAGTCAGTCAGTCAGTCAGTCAGTCAGTCAGCTAGTCAGTCAGTCAGTCAGTCAGTCAGTCAGTCAGTCAGTCAGTCAGTCAGTCAGTCAGTCAGTCAGTCAGTCAGTCAGTCAGTCAGTCAGTCAGTCAGTCAGTCAGTCAGTCAGTCAGTCAGTCAGTCAGTCAGTCAGTCAGTCAGTCAGTCAAGTAAGCAAGTAAAATTAGCCAAATTACTGACTTCCGGGTTAAATTGCTGATGCACAAATTGCGCCCAGTCCACCAACTTTGCGCCTGTGTAATTCTGTAAGTTTTCCATCAAATTTCACATTTTTGCTGTCATTACCTCTAGAAAAAAGGTTCTCTACATTTTCAGAGGATAATTTTTTTTAAAACTCATAAGCCCAAACATGGATGTTTGTCAGTGGAAAGTTTTAAGGTGTCCCAAACTGTAAATTACTAATTTTTCTGCCTTAATGGCCACCTGCCGAAGCAGGGTGACCCAAAGAAGGAATCACAGTCTCTGTCATTCATTCATTTGCTATCTTGCCAGGAGTGTGGTGATATTTACTTGTAAATTCTCTATCATAGACTGTGACGTGTCATTCAGAATTTACTTTCATTGAGTAAAGTTTAATTCACCTGTTTTGGATTAAATCTGTACTTATGTTAAGACCAGCTTTTTTTTTTATTAAGCAACTTTGAACAATTCAGGTGTTTTCCTACCTACCTTTTTTCAGTAGTAGTAGTAGTAGTAGTAGTAGTAGTTTTTTTTTTTTTTTTTTTTTTTTTTTTGTGATATTGTAACTGATTATACTATAAATTATGTGAGTAACATGATGGAGAGGAGTAGTATGGAAGAAGTGAATGTTTTCAGATATTTTGGAGTTGACGTGTCAGCAGATGGATTTATGAAGGATGAAGTTAATCATAGAATTGATGAAGGAAAAAAGGTAAGTGGTGCATTGAGGTATGTGTGGAGACAAAAGACGTTATCTATGGAGGCAAAGAAGGGAATGTATGAAAGTATAGTGGTACCAGCACTATGGGTGTGAAGCTCGGGTTGTAAATGCTGCAGCGAGGAGACAGTTGGAGGCAGTGGAGGTGTCATGTCTAAGGGCAGTATGTGGTGTAAATATTATGCAGAAAATTCAGTGTGGAAATTAGAAGGTGTGGAGTTAATAAGTGTTAGTCAGAGGGCTGAAGAAGGGTTGTTTAGGTGGTTTGGTAATTTAGAGAGAATGGATCAAAGTAGAATGACATGGAGAGCGTATAAATCTGTAGGAGAAGGAAGACGGGGTAGGGGTCGTCCTTGAAAAGGTTGGAGGAAGAGGGTAAAGGAGGTTTTGTGGGCGAAGGGCTTGGACTTCCATCAAGCATGCGTGAGCTTGTTAGATAGGAGTGAATGGATATGAATGGTATTTGGGATCTGACGAGCTGTTGGAGTGTGAGCAGGGTAATATTTAGTGAAGGGATTCAGGGAAACCGGTTATTTTTATATAGCCAGACTTGAGTCCTGGAAATGGGAAGTACAATGCCTGCGCTTTAAAGGAGGGGTTTGGGATGTTGGCAGTTTGGAGGGATATGTTGTGTATCTTTATATGAATATGCTTTTAAACTGTTGTATTCTGTGCACCTCTGCAAAAACAGTGATTATGTGTGAATGAGGTGAAAGTGTTGAATGATGAAAGTATTTTCTTTTTGGGGATTTTCTTTCTTTTTGGGTCATCTTGCCTCGGTGGTAGAAAGCCGACTTGTTAAAAAAAAAAATGATGCTACTGAGGGTATAATTCAGAAGGCTATGGATGGTTGTTGAAGTGGTATGGGCACATAGAGAGGGGTTAGAGAAGAATAGGTTGATGAGGGGGGTATATAAATCTTGAGTGGAAGGAAGGAAGGGGTGAGGATCGTCACTGGAATGGTTCAAGTGAGGGTGTAAAAGGGATTTTGAGCATTAAAGGTTTGAGCATCAAGCAGTCTTGAGTGAGATTGTTAGTGAATGGAGACAAGTGGTGTTTAATGGACATGCTGTAGGGATTCAGGGAAATCAGGTAGACTGATTTTAATCCTGAAAGAGGGAAGGGCAGTGTCTGCACTCTGAAGACGGGTGGGGATGTTGTAGTTGGAGGTTAATTTGATTGTGATGCCAGCACACTTCTGGAAAGACAGCAGTTGAATGAATGATGGTGAATGTATTTTCTTCTTTGGGTGGGAGATGGCCATTGAATTAATTTTTTTATACATATTGTATTGATATTGCAGGTATGCTGATGAGATGGATAAGGCCAGCCGGACCCAAGAGAAGGTTTTGGCTAAGATGGAAGGGCTCAGGAAGAAACAGGCATGTTCTCCAGAGGAATTCAACAAATTGCGTAAAATGGTGAACAAGCATCACAGAGTTATCGCAGCAGAACATCGACAGCAGAGACGCAACGATCGTAAAACTGGCAACTGGAAAGCTGGGAAGTCAAAAAAACTCAGCATTGATAACATGGTATTCTCGCTTTTCTTGTTTAAAATATCTTAAAGTACTAATGACATGTATCCAAAGGAATTTTTTTCTCATCTCCACAGCTGTTTCCCACCAAGGTAGGGGTGACCAAGAGAAGAATACTTTGTTAAGTTATATGTATGTGGAACATTTAGAAATTGAAAATACTCAAATACTTGTGGAAATAGTGTATTTATTCATTCAGTTTCAGTTACTATTCTTTTTATTGCATTTTGTGTAGGTTTAGTATCTTTGGAATACATGATAATTTGTTAGGCATATATATTAGTGAATGTCTCTTCATTTTTCAGGGGTTCCCTGTGGATGCATCTCTCTTACATGCAGCACTACAGGAGTTGGAAGCCTTGGCTGAGGACTCTCCTACTGAGGGTAGTGGAGGTGGTACCACTCGTGGTTATGATGCTCTCTATCTTAAAGACATTACCTATCCTGATGGCTCTGAAGTGCTACCTGGAAAAGAGTTTGTTAAGACGTGGCGGGTTGTTAACTCAGGAGTGATGCCCTGGAATGATAAAGTAAGATTTTGGTTTAGGTTCACATAGTGTTTTATCTAGCTGTTGCATTTGTCTTTCTTTGCTCTGATGTTGAATTTAATGTATATTCGGATTTAATGTATATACTGTACAGATATTTTTTTCTTTTTTTTACAATGCCTATCTCCCACTTGGGCAGGTCGATCCAAACAAGAAAAAACTCTTTCATAAAGTACGTACATAGATTTCAGCTCCATAACTCCATAACAAAGAAATTTAAATAGACCCTTATGATATTTAATTCAGTTTTTTAGTATGCAGATAACTCTTGTTTAAAATGGTAGTTACACTCCTGAAACCTGAATGTAAATATAAAAATTACTTAAAATGAACTGAGCCAAGGTAGATGGTTATAGATTGTAAATTGAGATGGATGTTCATGGACCTTAGGCTATGGTGGATAGCCGAGGCTCTTGAACTGATGTTGATTCAGAGTTGTTATTAGATAATAGTTGTACTGGAGTGCTCGAGTATTCTGTAATGCGTCTCTGATAATAAGGCATCATCAGCTACTTCAGAGCAGTGATACACAAAACCTAAATAATGACTTACTTATTAATTACCTTATTTAAGTAAAGCCTGGAAGAAGCTAGTGTTTGACTCAGTTTACCATTTATTCCTTCCAAAGAAAATGGCTATGGATTTTTTTCCAGAGAAATTGTGCAAAGCTAATATATTACCAGTGTCTGTTATAATTTTAATACACAATCTTTTCAGTTTAAAATAGGCTAAAAAGTAACAAGTATCCAAGATAAGATGGGGTGATAGAGATTGAAAATTAATTGTGTAATGAAAATTGTGTAACACAGCTAAATAAAATATTGAACACACATGCATGGAGAGGTGGCAGTGTGCCATATTTTCCCCTAAATATATGTTGTGCTAAATGAAGGTTATGGCATTCTCATTGAAATTATTTATGTTGCAAATTTTCAATGGTGTTATGTCGAAAATATGTTAAAAGATTGTGTGTATAATGAGGGTCTCCTGTACATAAAAACTAGATTGAAAGATATGGCAGAAATCTCAAGTTGGATGTTTAATTTGTAATGCTTTTATTTCAGACAATATTATGTAAGTGGACTCAAGTGCGATTCCGTGGCTCGCCTGCAGGCTGGAAATTAAAGCCGTCCCTCAAGAAAGTGGTATGCCCCCCACTGCAACCTGGGCAAGAAGGCGACATTTCGATAACTTTTACAGCACCAAGTAAGTCATGAAGACTTGTTACCATAAACAATATTACAGGGTATATGAATTAAAATAACAGAATATTAACTTATAATGTAAATATGCTATCTTAAAATTTCGTTGCTCTCCACATTCATTGTACTTTTTTTTTTAACAGCTAGAGTAATGCTTAAACCCTTTGTTGATAACTAATATTGCTTATATTTTCCTAATTACAGATAAACCTAAGACAATAGCAAAATAAACTGATTCTGTGGTGCAGTAAAGTTTGTATTGTACTAGGGAGTGAGAGATCTGCTCGTTACCCTCTCATAGAGCACTTTAACACTTGTACCCCACACTTAATCACTACTCTGTATATGGTAACAACTTATGCTTTGGAAAGTGATGTACAGATATTTAAGGAGTGCAGATATTTATTACACTAATAAGGACAGTATAGGGAACACTCAGTTACTTGTAAAGTACTGTTTATACAGGGTTACTACAATGGGAATAACTTAAGGCTTCGGGAGAATTGGGTTATTACAAGGATCTACTATACAATCATAAGAAATACAATACTTAACATGACCTAACCCAATTTTTTGGTATTGTGGTAGTGATATTTGTTTTTATTGTGTATCTTCTCAAACTTGGCTAACTAAAATTGCAAAGAAATATTTTAAGGAGAGAACCATAATTACAGGATTGCAAGCAACTCACAGAATGGGTTTGAGCCCCATCCGTTTTGTGCTTTATTTTGCAGGGGAAGCTATGATTAGTGAATTTACCTAAATTATGGGTACAATACTTTTAACATGTAATTGTTTGGAGCTGAAGGATAATTAAATTATGTATTTTAGGTGAACCTGGTTGGTATGCAACGCATTGGAGATTTTGTCAGCGAGGACGAGTGTTTGGGAACCAGATGTGGTGTGCAGTACATGTTACAGAAGATCCAAACTTTAGACTAAATCCACATTGGTGTAAATCGTTAGAAAATTCTGATGATGAACAAAGACCTGAGGTAGTGTATAATACTGAAGAGTCTTTTATGAGTTCACTTTTAACCTTGGATGTAAAAATAATTAAAATTTTGCTAATGCATTCATGTGCAAGAAAGAGCACATCAGTAGACTTGTTTAATTTTCAAATATCTCTCATACATATGTTCATGCATTTCACAACTAATCCACAGCTTGGAAATAAGTCTTTAAATAGCATTTTTGTCTGTCCTGAACTTTTTTTTTTTTTGTCACTGTCTTGCCAGAGGTGTGCCAGTATTACAGCTCAGGTGCCCCTCCAAACTGCAGTATCCCCACCCCTCCTTCAGCATGCAGGCACTATATTTCCTACCTCCAGGACTTATTTGGCTAACTGGTTTCCCTGAACATTTTATAAATGTTACCTTGCTCATACTCCAACAGCATGTCAAGTCATTAAAATTGCCTGCATCCACTCTTACCTAACATGTTTGCTCTTGTCTGTTGGATGTTCAAGTCCCTTACACACTAAACCTCCTTTACCCCCTACCTTCAAGCTTTCCTATGATGACCTCCCTTCTTCCCTCCACTATAGATTTATACACCCTCTAAGTCATCATGTTTTGCTCCATTCTCTTTAAATGTTAATTCACTACTGATAATCTATTGACTAATGATCCAGGACAGACCAGAACTTCATTGAAAAATTTATCTTTAAATTGTGTGTTATTCATGAATTATTCCAGCCATGGTAGTGTGACTTCTATTCTTGTACATCTCTGTGCTTCAACATTCATGTAATTTTACTTATTTTCTAGCAAATGCCAGATTTATCAGACACTTTGAAAGATGACAGCGTATTACGAGGGGCTCCAACACAAAGGAGTTATACACAGATTTCCAGTGGTTTAACATGTGAACCCCGAGGCCATCCAAGAGAGGACCTTTGTGTTCATCCAGATTTTTCATCTCAAGTAGACCTAGAGGTTGGCATTGTTGAAAATTATTATGATGCTGAAGATCCAGCCCAAAAGGAACTGTCAACAGTAAGGTTCCATATTAGAATTTGAGATAGTGCAATTAATAAGATGTATGAATACTGAATGCTCATTAAAAACAAGATTAATGTAAAAATATTAAGCATTATCATAGAAATAATTACAACATATAAGATAGACTTGCAGTGAGTAGATGTGGGTACAACAGAGTTTGTCTTCATTTAGCATGATTGTTATGAATGATATTTCTCTCAACAGAGCCTACAGTGTATGACTCTTTCGTGTCCTGATGTAGTATCGGATGCTGTGGATACAAAGAGAATTGAGCAAGACCTGATATCATTTGAAGAAGATGCTGAAGTTGTTTCTTCTGGGGCTTCAACTCCCGAAATTATTCACTCTATACCTCAGCCACATGCAGTGGTCAGTATTCTTTTTGTAGCATCTGTGGAGACAAAGAAAGTTATTCATGGAGGCAAAAAGGGGAATGTATGAGAGCATAGTAGTACCAACACTCTTATATGGGTGTGAAGCATCAGTTGCAAATGTTGCAACGAGGAGGCTAGAGGCAGTGGAGATGTGTCTGAGGGCATTATGTGTTGTGAATACTATGCAGGGAATTCGAAGTTTGGAGATTAGAAAGAGGTGTGGGGTTGAAGTGGTTTGGACAATTAGAGAAGATGAAGCAAAATAGGATGACTTGGTGGTGGGAAGGTGGGGTTGGGGTCATGCTAGGAAAGGCTGTAGAGGGGATAAGCAAGGTTTTGTTTGCAAGGAGCTTAGATATCCTGCAGGTGTGTGAGCGTGTTAGGAGTGTGTGGAGGTAAGTGGTTTTTTACGATGGCATGCTGTTGGAATGTGAGCAAGGTAACATTTATTAAGGTATTCAGGGACACTGGTTAGCCAAACTTGAGTCCTGGAGGTGGGAAGTACAGTACCTGTGCTCGGAAGGAGGGGTAAGGATATTGTAGTTTGGAGGGGCATCTGAACTGGTATCAGCACGTCTCTGGTGACAAAGTGATAGAGTGTAATGGTGAAAGTGTCTTCTTTTTTGGGTTATCCTTCCTTGGTGGGAGACAGCAGGTGTGATAAAAGAAAAATCAAGAACACTTTAACCCGTAAACGGTCCAAAGGCATATATACGTTCATACTGTTAATGCCCCAAACGTATATAAAAGTTTCATTTTTCCTGCCTTCGAATTTGGCACAATTGGCCTGAGATACCTTGTCAGCATAGAATTGGTCTTAACACTCACTGTGCACTGTATTAAAAAAATCTAGGACCACTTAGTACCTCGTGGGAGCACCAGTTCAAATGAGCGCCAGCCAGCTAGAGCAAACAGCATGGCAAACACCTGGGATTCACTGATTTCATGTAACATTAACTCTCCCATTTTAAGAGGAAAGTGATTTTGACCCCGAGTTTAGTGGCTTTGAGGTGGATGTGGCCATAAGTGGTGAGGAAAGTATATATACGTTTGGACCATTTACGGGTTAATAGATATTCTTCAAAACTTGGAACAGTTTTAATAAAATGATGTGAGGTATAGCATTGTTTCTGGCAGTATGAGGATATGTATTTCTTATGACAATAATTTTTTCAGGAAAGTAAATTTCTTTAAATGGGAATTTTACCTAAATGAGTTTGCAGGGAGTGAGCTCTAGGTCTTGGTGCTGTATACTCGCAAATAAGTTGCACATATAAAGTAAAGTAAAAGAACACAAGTGCAACTAATGTGACTTTTTTATTGTGGCAACGTTTCGCTCTCCAGGAGCTTTATCAAGCTGTGTGACAGTTGTTGCCATAAAAAAATGTCACATTAGTTGCACTTGTGTCCTTTTACTTTACATATTATCGGTAATTCTACCAACATTATTACACACGTAAAGTAAAAAAATATTTAATGCACATTCTTGATCATCACACGTTTGTGAGCTTAGCTTGTCTTAATACTGTTATTGTTTGTGCATTTCAGACTAACTGGTTTGTGGTAATGGGAATTACTGAGTCTTTTTCTTTAACTCTTAATATATTTTTCCTAAATGATATTCTGTCTTAGGTCTTTCTCCATTTCGTACTTTCATAACTGCATTTTTTACTGGGGTTGAAATGTATTGGACTTTTCCTGATATTTAGCCAGGTTGTCCTGCAGCCATCTAGCCTTTGCAATTAGTATTCTCGTCATTTTTATACTGTCTGATTGCAAGGATATGTGGGGATTTATTCCTGTTGCCTGATCATTGATGTACACTAGGAAGACCATGGTACCCAACACTGATTCTTGTGGGATTCAGCTTGTTGCAATCTTGCATACTGATACTTCATTTTTCAAGAAGCTATTTTAATTTACTATTTAGTTTCATATTTGGCCTAGACATTATGACATCATAAAATATTTGCCTACACTAAGGAGGGGTTTGGGATATTTGCGATTTAGAGTGACATCTAAACTGTTGTATCTGCATACCTTTGGCAAAATAGTGTTATTGTGAATGATGGTGAAAGTGTTTCTTCTTCGAGTCACCCTGCCTCAGTGGGAGACGGCCAGCGTGTTAAAAAAAAAAAATGAAAATGGGAAAATAGGTGCTATAGGATACATTTTTTATGACATAAACGATAACCCAAAAACACAGAAGTGGAATAATACCATGTTAATTTTGCTTTTTAAATAATGCTTATCATTTATCACAGGTACCACTAAAAGAAATGGCTAAGGAGTCTGTTGAGTCCTTAAGAGAATCCTCAGTTGGGAAGGATCAGCAGGCAGGAAAGAAGCTCCAAAATGGACATAATGCAATTCTAAGTACTCTACAAGCTGATGCACTCAGCATTTCTAGTGGTTCATTCTCTGAGTTAGACTCTGAGGACCAGGCTATATTAAATGAATCTGATACTGAACTCTCAGATCATGAATATTATGTAGTCAACTTGCCTGAGTGCTTCAACATGAATTCTTCACACATGGGTAAGTGTTGCTTAATTAATGGCGAAGACATTACAAACTATAAGTTTATAATGGGACACTTTTTTTTAATCTCAGACATTTGACATGTGAGCTCCATAAGCTATGTTACATACCACCAGTAAAAATATTCTTTTAATTTTGTGCATAAATCTTTATATATATTTTATTTTGTGCACTTTTTTTTATATAATTTTTTTTTTTGCAAGGATACAGCAAGTCTTTCCCTAACATTCCTAAGCTGGTCCTCAGACATTGCATGTAATATGAATGGGCCTTAAACAGTATGAGAGAATAAATACTAAAAAGTACTCAGTTATTTTACCTCATGTTTTGATTATTCTGTAATCTAGCCTGGAAGCAGTAGTTTTTATTTCTTTCCCTATCCAGTGACAGAACTATTTCTGTAGCCTTTATTCCTCTTTACTATATCCCTCCCTCCGAGTTGGATGTCACTGAACAGTGAAGAGCATTGTATCCAGTAGTTTGTACTTATTAATGTACTTATTAATGTCTTATTCCCCGGGCACTGCACGACCCCCATATGTATACCTGGAGAGGGTTTTGAGGGTCAACGCCCCTGCAGCCCAGTCTCTGACCAGGGCTGGTAGATTGGTCAACATATGAACCACAGTCTGGCTAATCAGGTACTGACTAGGTGCCTGTCCAGAGCACTCTTGAAGACAGCCAGGGGTTTATTGGTAATCCCCCTTATGTATGCTGGGAGGCAGTTGAACTGTCTTGGGCCCCTGACATGCTTCCTCATGAAAATTGTTCAGTACTAATACTGTATCTCTATTGAGTTAGTTCCTATGTGTTAGAAATTGTCTTCAGCATTTCTTGTACACTTCTTTTTATTATTAGAATTATGTTGTTTGCTCCTGTAGCAGTAGACTTGAATGTGTTTTCAGACAGGTTTAAAATGACTGAGCTAAATTGGGTCTATTCTTACCTCTAAGCCATTGAAAGTGAATATTCGTGTTTAATTTTAATTTGCTTTATACCTTCAGTAATTTGTGCTAATAAATTCTCTACATTTTTTCTATGCTCTCTATATAAAAGTTAGAGCATTCATATAGACTGCTGATATTCTAAGACATATACTGTACTGTATATGAAAATGCCACATGTCACCACTCCTTTCCTGTCTTCCTGATGTTCGATTTATTTCATAAATGTTAATTGAGGCTTCAGAGTGAACGTGCCAGAGCCAAGTAACATTCAACACATTCATACATTTGAACCTGTTAATCTGTTTTATTTGTTTATTTGTCCTTCCACAAATTCTCTAGACCAGCAGCAACATCCTCATTTTGTGAGTTTTTGTATGTTGATGTATGTTTGATAGTATTTTACCCTCTAGTAAGGTATATTATTTCTGACAACTGGTTTTACATTAATAAGTTTAATTTTGTTATGAAATTTGGTATGTAGCATACTATTTATTTTTTTTTTTATTATCACACTGGCCGATTCCCACCAAGGCAGGGTGGCCCGAAAAAGAAAAACTTTCACCATCATTCACTCCATCACTGTCTTGCCAGAAGGGTGCTTTACACTACAGTTTTTAAACTGCAACATTAACACCCCTCCTTCAGAGTGCAGGCACTGTACTTCCCATCTCCAGGACTCAAGTCCGGCCTGCCGGTTTCCTTGAACCCCTTCATAAATGTTACTTTGCTCACACTCCAACAGCACGTCAAGTATTAAAAACCATTTGTCTCCATTCACTCCTATCAAACACGCTCACGCATGCCTGCTGGAAGTCCAAGCCCCTCGCACACAAAACCTCCTTTACCCCCTCCCTCCAACCTTTCCTAGGCCGACCCCTACCCCGCCTTCCTTCCACTACAGACTGATACACTCTTGAAGTTATTCTGTTTCGCTCCATTCTCTCCACATGTCCGAACCACCTCAACAACCCTTCCTCAGCCCTCTGGACAACAGTTTTGGTAATCCCGCACCTCCTCCTAACTTCCAAACTACGAATTCTCTGCATTATATTCACACCACACATTGCTCTCAGACATGACATCTCCACTGCCTCCAGCCTTCACCTCGCTGCAACATTCATCACCCATGCTTCACACCCATATAAGAGCGTTGGTAAAACTATGCTCTCATACATTCCCCTCTTTGCCTCCAAGGACAAAGTTTTTTGTCTCCACAGACTCCTAAGTGCACCACTCACCCTTTTCCCCTCATCAATTCTGTGATTCACCTCATCTTTCAAAGACCCATCCGCTGACACGTCCACTCCCAAATATCTGAATACATTCACCTCCTCCATACTCTCTCCCTCCAATCTGATATCCAATCTTTCATCACCTAATCTTTTTGTTATCCTCATAACCTTACTCTTTCCTGTATTCACTTTCAATTTTCTTCTTTTGCACACCCTACCAAATTCATCCACCAATCTCTGCAACTTCTCTTCAGAATTTCCCAAGAGCACAGTGTCATCAGCAAAGAGCAACTGTGACAACTCCCACTTTGTGTGATTCTTTATCTTTTAACTCCACGCCTCTTGCCAAGACCCTCGCATTTACTTCTCTTACAACCCCATCTATAAATATATTAAACAACCACGGTGACATCACACATCCTTGTCTAAGGCCTACTTTTACTGGGAAATAATTTCCCTCTTTCCTACATACTCTAACTTGAGCCTCACTATCCTCGTAAAAACTCTTCACTGCTTTCAGTAACCTACCTCCTACACCATACACCTGCAACATCTGTCACATTGCCCCCCTATCCACCCTGTCATACGCCTTTTCCAAATCCATAAATGCCACAAAGACCTCTTTAGCCTTATCTAAATACTGTTCACTTATATGTTTCACTGTAAACACCTGGTCCACACACCCCCTACCTTTCCTAAAGCCTCCTTGTTCATCTGCTATCCTATTCTCCGTCTTACTCTTAATTCTTTCAATAATAACTCTACCATACACTTTGCCAGGTATACTCAACAGACTTATCCCCCTATAATTTTTGCACTCTCTTTTATCCCCTTTGCCTTTATACAAAGGAACTATGCATGCTCTCTGCCAATCCCTAGGTACCTTACCCTCTTCCATACATTTATTAAATAATTGCACCAACCACTCCAAAACTATATCCCCACCTGCTTTTAAACATTTCTATATTTATCCCATCAATCCCGGCTGCCTTACCCCCTTTCATTTTACCTACTGCCTCACGAACTTCCCCCACACTCACAACTGGCTCTTCCTCACTCCTACAAGATGTTGTTCCTCCTTGCCCTATACAGAAATCACAGCTTCCCTATCTTCATCAACATTTAACAATTCCCCAAAATATTCCCTCCATCTTCCCAATACCTCTAACTCTCCATTTAATAACTCTCCTCTCCTATTTTTAACTGATAAATCCATTTGTTCTCTAGACTTTCTTAACTTGTTAATCTCACTCCAAAACTTTTTCTTATTTTCAACAAAATTTGTTGATAACATCTCACCCACTCTCTCATTTGCTCTCTTTTTACATTGCTTCACCACTCTCTTAACCTCTCTCTTTTTCTCCATATACTCTTCCCTCCTTGCATCACTTCTACTTTGTAAAAACTTCTCATATGCTAACTTTTTCTCCCTTACTACTCTCTTCATATCATCATTCCACCAATCGCTCCTCTTCCCTCCCGCACCCACTTTCCTGTAACCACAAACTTCTGCTGAACACTAACACTACATTTTTAAACCTACCCCATACCTCTTCGACCCCATTGCCTATGCTCTCATTAGCCCATCTATCCTCCAATAGCTGTTTATATCTTACCCTAACTGCCTCCTCTTTTAGTTTATAAACCTTCACCTCTCTCTTCCCTGATGCTTCTATTCTCCTTGTATCCCATCTACCTTTTACTCTCAGTGTAGCTACAACTAGAAAGTGATCTGATATATCTGTGGCTCCTCTATAAACATGTACATCCTGAAGTCTACTCAACAGTCTTTTATCTACCAATACATAATCCAACAAACTACTGTCATTTTGCCCTACATCATATCTTGTATACTTATTTATCCTCTTTTTCTTAAAATATGTATTACCTATAACTAAACCCCTTTCTATACAAAGTTCAATCAAAGGGCTCCCATTATCATTTACACCTGGCACCCCAAACTTACCTACCACACCCTCTCTAAAAGTTTCTCCTACTTTAGCATTCAGGTCCCCTACCACAATTACTCTCTCACTTGGTTCAAAGGCTCCTATACATTCACTTAACATCTCCCAAAATCTCTCTCTCTCCTCTGCATTCCTCTCTTCTCCAGGTGCATACACGCTTATTATGACCCACTTCTCGCATCCAACCTTTACTTTAATCCACATAATTCTTGCATTTACACATTCATATTCTCTTTTCTCCTTCCATAACTGATCATTCAACATTACTGCTACCCCTACCTTTGCTCTAACTCTCTCAGATACTCCAGGTTTAATCCCATTTATTTCCCCCCACCGAAACTCCCCTACCCCCTTCAGCTTTGTTTCACTTAGGGCCAGGACATCCAACTTCTTTTCATTCATAACATCAGCAATCATCTGTTTCTTGTCATCCGCACTACATCCACGCACATTTAAGCATCCCAGTTTTATAAATTTTTTCTTCTTCTCTTTTTTAGTAAATGTCTACAGGAGAAGGGGTTACTAGCCCATTGCTCCCGGCATTTTAGTCGCCTCATACGACACGCATGGCTTACGGAGGAAAGATTCTTTTCCACTTCCCCATGGACAATAGAAGAAATAAAGAGGAACAAGAGCTATTTAGAAAAAGGAGAAAAACCTAGATGTATGTATATATATATGCATGTGCGTGTCTGTGAAGTGTGACCAAAGTGTAAGTAGGAGTAGCAAGATATCCTTGTTATCTAGTGTGTTTATGAGACAGAAAAAGAAACCAGCAATCCTACCATCATGCAAAACAGTTACAGGTTTCTGTTTCACAGTCATCTGGTAGGACGGTAGTACTTCCCTGGGTGGTTGCTGTCTACCAACCTACTACCATAGCATACATAGCATACGTAGCATACATAGCAATGTAATTGTCATTATGTAATTTTCTTTTATTTTAGTTGGTTCTGTTCCTCATTCATGATGTCTGAAAGAAAAACTGGCATATCCATTATTGAAGGGAAATTTATTATGTGGCCTTTGAAGGAAATTCATAATCTTTAAGGTGAATGTTAGGATTGTGTATAATGGTCATTGGTGGATGTTACTGCTTTGTTGTATTCCAGTTGCTCTGTAAACCGTTTAACTTGTTTTTGGTTGGTGGTTCTTCAGTTCTTAAACTTTAGTGATACTTACATTTCTATTTCAAATTCCTGGCCATCTTCGATTTCCTTGATCCTGAGTGTACAACAAACTTTTTCTACATTTTTTATTTAATTTTATTATGTTGTTCTGTAATTCTGCATGTATGTTTCATGTGTTTTTGCCCTATATGCAGCATTCTTGAACACATACCTTACTGTCAACAGATCTTGTGGGAGCTGAACTGCTTGAATCATCTGAAACTGCACCTGACATTTATAATGAAGCTGAGCTACCAAATTCTGCTTATCACGAAGCTGATCGCCCTGAATCTCCTGGCTTCCTTACAGCAGATGAAGATGATCGCACTACTACAGCAGTTTCTGAATTACCAGATGATCAGACTGAGCGCATACCTGTGACTTTATCTTCATCAAATGCTAGTAGAGAGGACAGCGATGCAAGAACAGTTGAGGTATTCCCAGCTGAAAAATCTACAACACAGGATTGTATTAGATCTCAGAATGATGATTCTCACAAAACTGAAATTAATAAAACCTCAAATCCTCATCCTCCTCCTGAAACAAAGCCATTTATGGAAATACCAGCTGAAGCTCTGAGAACGAACTTAGCATACACTGTTCATAAACAAATTCGGACCAGTGTTGGTGGTTCTGATCCTGATGCTCACTCGCAAGAGCAGAATCAAGCAACATGGGTAACTGGATCAGATGATGTTCAGGGTGTTGTTTGTGAACAGCCAAGCTCAGCTCAAGTAAGTTTTTCTGAGGAAGCCTCTTGTAGTTAACACATTTTTTTGTATTTCAGTGAGCATTACCAAGATAAGCATAAAGAAATATGATTAATGTTACAAAATCTAGATTAGAGTTTGCTAGTGTATTGCTACATTGCACCACTGACATTAATTGATAATTTCTTGCATTTTTTTATGAAACTGGCCATATCCTACCAAGGTAGTGACCTAAAGAGAAAAACAAAAGTTTTTCTTTTTAAATTTAGTAATGTACAAGAGAAGGGGTTACTAGCCCCTTGCTCCTAATTTGTTGCTTGTATTCATGTGAAAATAAGTGAAGATGCAGTTCTAACCCTGAACCTTTGAACTGTTGGAAACACTGGTGTGCAATGTCAGGGGTAACTTTTCACCACATTTATTAGTCACTGGTACTGTATAGAATTTTTAATAGTTTAATTGAAGGTGGTAAGAAGACAGTAAATGCAGGGAAGCCACTATTGGAATATTTCACCCCTCCCTGGGGGACTCTTTATTGAGTACACAATGAATCCCTTTTCTCCTTGGGTAAAACATTTTACCAGTAAAGACTACCTTCATTTAATGTCTTTTTACCATATGTTCATATACACATTAATTCTACAGGCTTTTAACTCGCCAGCCAAAACAGGAAACATTCGTATTGTTATTTTTTAGAAAAAATACGTAATTGGTATGTATGTGTGTATTTTTTTTTTATAGAAAAATGGTAACTGGTGTGTATGTAGATTTTTGCCTTGAACAGTTAGCTAAATAACTGTACAGTAATAAGAACTAAAGACCTGCAACAGGCCTTTTAAAACAGCCAACCACCTCTGTATTAGACCATATCATTTGTCAAGAACCAAAATGATTATTCTGAATCTCAAGTGCAGTATCATATTTGGAATTTGCTGTGCTCAACAGTGTAAAGTTTCTAATGTATTGAAAATGTATATAATGAACATTATACTTTACTATGCTTTACTTACTCCAAAAGTAAGAAATCCTTTTAACTATTATTTCAGCATAAAGAACCTGGACGCACCTCCAGGATAAGAAGTGGTGCGGCACTGAGTGATGATAAAGAGGCAGCGACAAAGCAAATCCCTGAGTTGCGGGAGCTTCCTGTTGACCTTGTAGGTGCATTGCCAGATGAACTGGTAAGCATCATCCCTGAAGACCTGGTGCGTGGAGTGTGGAACACAGCTCGCACCTTAATAACTCGCATAAACCAGGTCAGGAATGTGTTTCTGATCCTTGTTTTGTGTAAGCATAAATGCTTTATCTCCTATATGAAGTATGATCCATTCAAAGCATCTAGTCTTTACAAATGTTATAAGTATCATAAACCTCTAAATTTTAAAAAGTCCATTTTATTTTTATTTTTAATGTGTTACCATTATTATTGTTTATTTGATTTGATTTTCAGTGTAACAAGTATCAGGTAGAAGTATTATTATGACTATCTTTATTACTAAAGCCAAAGTGCATTGTTGATGAGGGGATCCTGCCATGGGAAAATGAGAAAAATTTATATAATCATTATATGAGTACAGTATTCATTTTCTACAGTCCAAACTTTAGATACTCTGCTGTTTATAAAATGTGGGGAGGAGGGGGACAGTAATCTTTGTAAGTTATGTTAGTGCTCTAAATTAGATTAGATTAATTATCCACACACAAATAACCTGTATTTAGGAGACAGAAGCTTACGATGATGACTTGGTCCAACTTGGAACATTTACTAGTCACACTAACACATGATGGTGAGGTTGCCAGTATGTGTAAGCGAGGGGGACAGGGATGGGACAGAATTGAAGAATATAGGTTTCAGATTTATGCAGTGTATAGATTTATCATCCCTTACATCTTTACAGATACCTTAAGCATTACATGAGCATTTTGTAGAAAGATGTATGTACAGTATAGAATAAAAATATACAGATGTTATTCATCAGCTCTTTTTGCCAAAGACTGGAAGAAATCTTGTGCATTAATTCTACACACAATAGCATCAGTCCTACAGGTTTTCACCATTCATTAATTCCTGAACTGTTTATTAATTCTAAAGTAGATTTTTCTATCAAAGTTTTATGTTACAACCTCTTCCCTGACTTCCATATAATACCAAAAATATAATTAATTTTGTGAGCTGTTGGTTCTTCCATACTCTTTAAATTCTTGTCACAATTTAATTAATTTGAGAAGTTTGTTTGTATTTTATATTTTTTTTTCACAAAGAGAATATATATAAAAGTATTCAAACATAAAAGTTTTGAAAGATTTATCATTAAAAAGATGTTTAGGGTTTTGCCTAGGTCCTTAAAATTAGGCATTAAATTCTTGGAAATTTGATAGCATTTCTTTGTTATTTCCAGATAGAGTATTCTAAACTGTGGAGAGTTTGTTCCACTTTTATATAGTTTTCAGTTTAAACTTCTTTTATTTTTATTGTCTACAGGAAATGCTGTCACCATCTGCTGACTCTCCAGGGCGCGTATATCGTACTGATGACAATCCAGCAAATGAATCTCAGTGCCCCCAACCAGAAGTCACTCCAGAGCCTGTAGCAACAGTGCAAGAGAGCACTCCCTCACAACCTGAGGTAAACCAGTGCAGTAGACCTCCTTTGACCAACATCCCCGACAACTTAATGTTAAATGAGCACAATAGACCTCAGTCATCCAACACTCCCACAACCTGAAGTAAATGGGTATAATAGATCAAAATCAACCAACATAGTAGACTTGCCTCAGTCCACAGTCTTCCCCAAAATCTGATGTAAATGAACACAAATAGATCTTCAACCCACATTACCCCACAACCTAAGGTAAATACACACTGTAGGCCTCTTTGAGCCAACACTATCCTACATCTGAAATTAAGTGAGCAAAGTAGACCCACCTCAACCAGAATTCCTCCACAACCTGAGGTACATAACCACAGTGGATCAATTTCTATTTACCTGTTATATACCAAAATTATTGTAAATACAGTATCTCCTTTGGGAGTTCGTAAATGATATGATCATTCAGGTTTTTGGCAGGCCAATTTTAAACATCTAGTAATAACCTGTGTATCAGTTATCTGACAAATGATCATCCATCCACTAATGAAGACAAACAAATAATTGCTGAAATTTAGCTTATAAAGTCGTATTTATTAATTTTTAATTTTTTTACCCAATTTAACACATCGGCTGTTTCCCACCAAGGAAGGGTGACCCAAAAAGAGAGGGGAAAAACCCCCCAAAAAAAGAAAAAACTTTCATCAGCATTCAACACTTTCACCATCATTCATACATAATGATATAAACACACAAAACAATCATGTTCAAGAAATCAGTCTTTTTTTTTTTTTTTCTTCTTTTTTTTTTTTTTTTTTTTTTTCTTTTTTTTTTCAATTATCGTTTTTCCAGCAAGATGGGTGATTCGAATAAGGCAGCTAATCTCCTATGGATAACAAATTGTGATACATCCAAATTTGAAGTTATGGTAAAAAAAAAAATAATAAGGAATTTTTCCACAGCAAGAAAGAACTCCACTGCCACCTCCAATGCAACAGCTAGAAGATATGGGTTTCAGCAACCGTGAAGTTAACCAGCGTCTTCTTACCAAGTACGACAATGATGTTTCCTGTGCTGTTGCAGAGCTTATTGTTCTCAATTGTCAATGAACCATATGCTATTTTGTCCATTTATTGCCAGTCATTGGAAATATTAAACAGTGATTAGTAGCAAAAGCCTGTTAGTACTGTATACAACACTTTATTAGAATTATATAAATGGTATATAATACTAACAAGTAGATGAGTAAGATGCATGTGCTACAGTTGGGTATCTTTAGTGTTGAAACGTTTCACCTACACAGTAGGCGTCTTCAATCTCCTCTGTATTTCACTGAAGCTCACTGTGTGGATGAAATGTTTTGATAATAAAGATACCCGACTGTTGCACACGTCTTGCTCATTTACAGCACTTCAAGTTTGTTGTACTCACAGAAATTACTGTGTTTTTTAGGGTTTCATATCTACAGTAGCTAGTGTTTAGTGTGGTCAGTTGGGAAGCCTATTTTTCTGTTCTCAATAAATTGCTTATAATGTAACACTACTTTTTTTAATAAAGCAAAACAAACATCCCATAGTGGGACCATATTTATGCATAGCTTTTATATAGTTATGATGATTTAGAAAATATTTTTCCATAGTATTGATTAAGGATATGATTGAATTGCAGCATGGCTCTGCTCACCATGATCTTTATGTTGTGCTAATAATGGCACTTTGTTGTTAGTCAAAATGTCAGATATAAAAATGATGCAGTACCCCAACAATTTGCTATTCATGCAGCATGCCAGTCTGTCAGATGCTGATATTACAGTATTTGGCAGTATTGTTCATTGGTGTTGAATATGTGTTGTGTTGCTCTCATGTCTTATAGAAGCTGGAGGAGCTAATAAGTGTGTTTGTTCAGGCTTTAAATTTATAGAATGATTAAAGAAACAAGAACGTTTAAGACTTCTGTATGGTACCTATTGTACTAGCAACATTTTTTAGTGTAATTGAGGGCATTAAGGTGCTCGAGCATCTGGACAGAATGGATGCTGAAAAATGAATACTCTAAAGAAATAAGTGGAAGAGAGAATGCATAAATCTATGTTAGGCCACCAAATTTCAGAATAGCCTTCACGAACCTCAAAGAATCCTTTAGGATTTTGTACATAACATAATGTTAAATTCTTTTTAGGACATGTAGCACCATCATGGAACCCCCATTTGTTCAAGCTCATTCAGAATCTTGAAAAGTTCCAAAGGTATGAAACTAGACTTAATTGCAAAGCTGAGGGATATATTCACTATGATGATTGACTAATGGGATTGAATATAAAAATTCAAAGAGAAAAAGACTTTGGAGAATTGTTTTTATATACTAGATACTAGGGGAAATTGATGCAGCAGATAGTAACACTTTAAAGGAACTTAATTGAAAGCTTAAAACAGATTTTTTTTTAAAAAGGAATTAGCAAGTACTTTTTCTATCTTGATGTGGTAGATACCACTAAGTGGAATGAACTGGCTGTAGAAGTGGTGGAGGCAGATTCTATGTACAGTCTTATGATAGGGCTCAAGTAGCTAGAAACCAGTAATGGCTGCTAATAAATCTTAAAAAATTGATCCCTTGCAAAGATAAATCTCTGATTACATACATTCAAAAAGATCCAAGTGTTCACAAGAAGACTGGTTCCAGAATCATTGGAGAGAAGAAAGGTTAGGAGCTCCACTCGATGTAACTAACAAAAGAGGAGGACCAGGGGGGTCATGATTATGATAAACAATAGAGACCTCACTTTACATCCATTAAAGCAACTTGCCTTCAGCAGATTTATTAAATCAACTTTAATTATACTTCCTTTAGCACTCTCACCGTCCTTACTAACTCTACTTCTGTTATACTCTTCACCCTCGCTGGTCTCTGATAAGGCATATTACACTTTTAGGACACCCTACCCTGTTAGTGCTGTATGACCCTCGTGAGTTTAGCTTCGACGATTCATGTCTGTTTTTCCCCTCTGCCAAGCACAAAAGCTCAAGATACCTACAGTATCTTCTCATGCTTCTCATGTTCTGATAGTTCTAAATCCTATGACGATGTCAGGTTTGCTGCTGTGTTTCCGGACAGTGTTGTGCAAGGGCATTTGTTGGAATCAGCTAGCATTTTCACTGTTGAACTGTCAGCAGTTCTCATTGTTGTCATACATATTGCATACCTGTCTACCTTGATGTTTGTAGTAGTTTCAGACTCCTTTATTGCAATTCAAACAATCGGAATATTTGATTCTCCTCTTCCTCAAGTTTGTCGTATTCAATTGTGGTTGCGCTGCATTTCTAGTAAAAACAGACATCGTTTTTTTTTTTTGCCGAGTCTCAGGACGTGTTGATGTTTGGGGCAACAAGCAGGCTAATTCTGGTGCAAGGTTAGCTGTTCAGGACCTCCGCATTTCACATAGGGATATTCCATTCTCAGACTATTTTACAGTAATCTCTTAGACACCTTTTCAACTGTTGGCAACAATGATGGTCCGAGTTGATTCATAACAGATTATATTACATCAAGCCTTGTTTAAATTTCTGATCATTTTATTATCGCTGTTGTGTTTGGGAGACTACCCTCTCCCATCTTTGTATCGGACACACACACACACACCTCACCCATGGGTTTATCATGGAGAAGTGCCCAGTGCCACTTCGTGAGAATTGTCAAATTCCATTTTCTGTTTACTATATAGTACTACTATTAGATTTCCTTGTCTACCAGCGAGCACACAGGATTTAACTCCGGTATCATCACCACTTTAACACCCTTACTTTAGCTGCCCTCATTGCTGACAGCCCTACCTTTGATGAAGACTTCCTCTTTTTGTCAGTGATAGCACTACACTGACTTTGATTTTACTTTCCTTTAGCACTCACCACCACCTTTACTGATTCTACCTCTAGCATACTCTTCATCTTTGCTAGTCTCTGTCCTAGTATAGTATGTCTTTAGCACATCCCACCCTGCAGCGCTGTATGACCCTGGTGGGTTTAGTGCTTAATTCTGATTATAATAATAATATGACAAAATTCTCAGAGCGTTAAAGTGGATAGAGGTGGCTGTTTGAAATGAGAGAGGGCATCAGGGGACATAGATGACAGTTTAAGATGCAAAGATATTAGAAAAAAGTTTTTCTGTGTCAGGGTAGTAAGTGGCAGAAACTAGATATAGAAGCAGTGGAGGTAAATTCCATTCATAGTTTCAAGAGTAGGCATGATTGGGTCCTCAAGAAATCAGTAAAACCAATCACTTGTAGTTAAGAGCTGGTATCAAAAGCTATGCCTAACTGCAAACAATCAGTTAAGTAGAGTATGTAAAAATGTATACTACTGTATTTAGTTTGTCCTCTACCAGAGATGAAATAACAAAAAGTCATGAATGGAGACTATGGCCCAAATGATCCTTGAGGATATCAGGAAACCTTTCTTTAACATAAGAATTGTTAAGAAGTAAATTAGCTGAACAATGATACTGGAAGCAGACCCTTTCTCTCTAGTCATTGACCATCCAGCACAAGACCCCACACTTATAAATGTGCATACACTATACTACTACAAAACATTCAAACATTGTCATGTAATTTCTTTTCAGTTGGTTCTGTCATATGACTTCTATACTTTTAATAAATATACCTGTGTTTAAAGAATTTGCTAGATATTATCGTGTTTAAAGAACTCTACATATTATCTTGTTTAAAAAATTTGCTACATATTATCTCACCATGTTAACATCACTGTTTTCAAATATTTATTGTTTCTTGCAAGCTTTTGCTTGGTCTTATCAAATTTTTAGACCCTCCCTCCCTTTTTTTTTTTAATATATCAGCCATTTTCTGCCAAAGTAGGGTGACACCAAAAAAAAAAAGAAAAAAGATGGTGAATGTGTTTTCTCTTTTTTGATCACCCTACTTCAGTGGGAGAGGCCAGTGTGCTGAAGAAAAAGTTTGAAGCTCAAAAGACATTTTGTTTAATTGAATCACTGTCACAAGCAATAGAAACAAAATTGTGTACAATTCCACATTTATTCTCAATGTATCAATGTTCAAGCTTCTACTCCAGATTCTCTTAGTATGTTTAAGCTGAAGATCGGTGAATCATTGCCCACAGATTCTTGCTTTGCCAGTGCCTGTTGACTTTGAATATCACTAGCATCTCTCTTGTTTGAATACCACTAGCAGTTTTCTTGATTTGAATATCACTGGCCATTTTCTTGGTTGCCATGATTAACATGCAGTGATGAGGGAGGGATGGTTGTAGGAAAATTTTGGTTGCAGTCAAAATTTTTATTTGTCAAATATATCTAGTACTTACAGCTAGTGCTCCTGGACATCAGGGGCATAATAAAATGTTTAAAACATGTTTTTCATAAGCAAATTGTTTTCCACAGCTTGTGTGTAGTTTTGTAAGATGTATTTGTCTAGCAATTTGTAAGAATTATTTTGCAGAAAGGAATGTATTCTTGTATTTTACAGTTAATTTCACAAATAATTATAAATGATTGTGTTGAATTACTTAAGGTTACTAATATTATGTAAAGAGAGTTGAGCTTTGGCTTCATTTTATCAGTTTCATATGAACATTTATTTTTGGTATCGCATATACATATTTATTTGCAGTATTTATTACATAAGACATATGATTATAACAGGTAGTCACTTATGGTTGAGAGTTCAAGGCTGTGTTCCTTTACATGGAAAGGTCTTAATGGAATCCAGAGTTAATGTTCAAAGTCTTTGTGATTGTATTCTGCTGTAATTTTAATCAGATAAATTGGCTAAATAGAGCGTGAATTTGGATTTTGTAAATTACAAATGAAAATGGCAGCACTAGGATATAACTAACTGCCAAATTTTATTGTGAAGTATGTCAAATAATTTGTTTAGCATTTACTGATGTTAAGATTAAGTCAAGAGTGGGATGATGAATGGGCAGGCTTTTGTTTTGACAAAAACTTTAAATACAATTTACATATACGTAAAGAATAGTGTCAGGTAATCTGTATTTTTTTATCATACGAATTGGCTGGATAACAATGCTGTTATTTATTATTGCCACTTCGTAAGTTTTACGAGGCTCTTGTAATGTTTGCACTTATACCAAAAGCAAGAGTTTTGCAAGTAATTTCAATATTTTATATAAATGATACTTTTAATGAAAGAACCTCTGCCAAATGATCCTGCTGTGTGTGTAGTGTGTGTAGTGTGTGTGTGTGTGTGTGTGTGTGTGTGTGTGTGTGTGTGTGTGTGTGTGTGTGTGTGTGTGTTTGTTATATTAATGTAATAATGATTGTTTCTCTAGTAACTGCATTTTTCATTTAAACTGTTCCCTAGTACTGAGTAAAATTGTTAGTATTTTCATTATTTTATTTTTTGTGCATTGGGTGCTAACTCAGTACAAACATTTTTACAATACCAACTAGTTTTATTGTTTAAATAAAGAAGCCTCTAACAGTAATAGTTTTTCATAGTGAATGCAAGTAATTGTCCCATTTCTATAAATTTATCTGTGTCACTTTTTTTTTGCATTAAAATATACTTGTTTTGTGTGTGTGTGTTTGACTGCATTTAGAACTTTGTCTAGCTTGCTGGTAAACTGATTTTAACTACAGTACTACCTACATGTCATAAATATTCTGAAGTAATGGTGTAATAGCAGTTAGCATTCCTATACCTGTGACCAGTTCTGCTTTCAAAGTCTGGCCTGAAGCTAGGTTTCCTTGAGTTTATCAGTCAGACTTCTGCCGTCAGTGATTTGCGTGGCAGTTGCAGCCTGACTAGTCTGTCACTTGTTACAGGCACATGTCTGGTGTCCTCTTGAAAACTTTTACCTCTGTTCCTTCATTAGCCCTTGTGGCTTAGCGCTTCTTTTTGATTATAATAATAATAATAATGTTCCTTCATTATTTCTTATATCTGCTTGTAGAAGGTTGAAGTCTTGGACCATGGATGTTAACACTCTTCTCTAATTGTGCCTATATGTATAGTATGACTTCCAGGATTATTATAGTACTCTCCTAGTATTATGGAAACTGTTCTCGGCTTTATATCATAAACATTGTCGTATAATGTGTAAATGATATGTACCCTTGACTACATTCTTGTCTGTGTACTGAACTTTGTAACTCATGAGTTATTGTGTAGATACAGTAATGGTAATGTAGATAGTGAGTGTGAAAAAATTGTTCAGTACATATTTCATCTTTTTCAATTATTGTAGCATGTATTTACCCTTGATTGTCCCTGGAGAAGATAGATCATTTGATTTTTATGAGACATATTCAATGGTTTATGTACCAGAATAACTTGGAAAATGCCTTGAGATCTTCAGTCCATGATGCACCTTTTTGTCATGCCTTTTTTTCCTTATTTAGCTGTGTCTTAAGTCTTAATAAATCACTGCTTGCAGCACTCTTGCATTTTCTTTCAGGATGTTTAACTTGCCAGGTATTAAGTAATTTTTATCCATGGGGTAATGTTAATATCTTTAAAAAGGATGGGAAGACATCAGATCAGTATATAGTAGATTATCAGTTATCCTGAGCTATTAGGGAGGAGGGTGTGTCAGATTTTCAAAGTACTGGATAATCACATTTCTTAGGGTCCTTTTGTGCATTATCTTTTAGCATGATCTATTGAGGTGCCAGATTTAACAAGACTACTGGATAATATTGGATGTTGAATAATTGATTGCCAGATAATCAGAGATACAATGTGCTGTGTGTAGTTTGTTCTTAATGCAGAGATCTTCAGTAGTTGTTTGGAAGTTTTCTGGAGAAATGTATCTTTATTTTTATTGTAGAAGAAAATACAGATATTGAAGCTTCTCTCATTGCTTGATTACTATATGGACATTTTTTAGATTTATTCTGTTTTAATTAAGAGAAGCATGTACCAAATCACATGTCAAGGATTCAGCATAGGACTTCTGTAACCATGGCTTGTTGTCTAAACTTTACTTGTGGGGCTGTGTACTTTGAAATATATCCTTCCTTAGTGGTACACTGAAATATATTCTTAGTAGTGTATTATATTTTAAGTATATTCTTCTTTAGTGATGTACTTTGAGCTACTGTATATTCTCCCTTAGTGATCATTTGGTGATGTAAGTATATAGCAAGCACAAAGATTTACATATGTACATAAATTATTATGGCTGGAATTTAGAGTTTTACTTTATTGCTATTGATAATATTTTTTTCATTTTATTGAAATTGGGATTAATTGTAAATGAGACGAAAGGCTGTAGGGATGTCGATTATAATAAAAGCTATGGATAATATTGCAGCTCTATGACCCTGGTGGGTTTAGTGCTTAGTTTTGATTATAATAATATAAATAATAGTAATATGGATAATATTAATTTTCTAGTATGTGTGTGTGTTATATATATATATATATATATATATATATATATATATATATATATATATATATATATATTATATATATATATATATATATATAATATATATATATTTATATATATATATTATAATATATTATATTATATATATATATTATATATATATATATTATATATATATATATTATATATATATAATATTATATATATATATATATATATATATATATATATATATATATATATATATATATATATATATATATATATATAATATATATATAATATAATATATATTTGCAGTATGGAGTAGTGGCCATGCACAACATAAAAAAAGTTATACCATAGGCTTCTGTTATTCTGCAGTAATGGTCTCCATTTTACCAGGGATATTAATAATCACTAATTTTTTGCATATTTCTTAGCTTTTAAATACTTTGATATAGGGGTTCATGTGTGTGCTGAAGTTGATCGTGAGTTTCTTTTCATGTGTTTTTAAGCTTCTCATGTAATTAAGAAGCCAGATTTGCAGCTTCAGAATTGAAAAAAAAAGTTGATGGGTGGCATTTTTCTTGTGCTTAGTATTTTAATAATTGTTCATGTTTGTAATTGCTTTATTGTATTATTTCTCATCTACCAGAAATATTTCTTATGTTCTTATATATAGTTGTATAACATTCACTTAATTTTTTTATTACCTGGAATGTGCACTTAGATATACTATATACTGTATTGCTTTTCAGATATAAAAATTATTCTCAAGTTTCTTGTTCTTGTAATGCATTAACATCAGTAAAAAATATGTTTAGTAAATATACTAGTAATTTCTCATTACTGTTTTATTAATGCAAAAATATTTCTTTTGATCATAATGCTGGCTTATCTACAAAGTAGGTATCTTAATAAGTAATGGCCTTTCACACTTTTCTACAAATATTTTACAGTAATATTGTATTACTGTCATTAAGTGGTTATTTAAACTAGTCTAAGATCTCAAGGTCATAGAATGAGATTCATGTCGGAAAGTGGCAGACCTCACACAAATCTAACTTAACCCAACTTGTAATGGTAAAGGTTGGTCTAATCCATCAGTTTCTTACCATATATGAAGAAGTTTATGGTAGGCTTCCTGAAGTTCATTGGAATGGAGATCAGTAGGCTTCAAACAATGTCAGAATCTCCCATCACCTTCCTCTCACCTTCTAAGGTAATTACATTTTTGAAAAATATGGGGTTGCCTTATGAGGGTGGATGAGGAGGAGGCTCCTCCACATTATGTACTGACGGGATATAAAAACAAATTTGGTTTAACTTAAAAATAAAGTACAGTTGATTAATGTGGTTAGAAAAGCTCTTGAACCTTACAACAATGTAGAGAGACTTAGCAAGGAGTGGTTGAGAGTATACTGCATCAGATTTGTAATATGTTAAGAGTAGCTTTGGGTTACCTTGTAAGTAAATGCCATATTATAATTTTGAGCCATGTCTTTCAGAAAAAAAAAAAAGATTAAATGTTGCATATGGAATACGCCTCTAACTCCCCCTTTGTTAGCAATGAGTGTTACATTTACTTTGCATTAGATGATATTAATTAATGATCAGTGCAAAAAGCAACAACAACCATTAATGGCACTACATAACAGTCTTTGGAATGGTTTAGCAAATTAAGTACATTTTTAGGTTCTTAAATTTTACAGATGTTAGAAAGGGTTAACGAATGCATTTGTATAGATATATTGGCCAACTTGCTTACTATTCATGTACACTAATGTACTCTTGTTTAGTGTTTTGTGTAGAAATGGCACAGGAACAACGGGGACATTTAGAATAACAAGCAGACCTAGTTAGCATTTTGTATTTTAATTAGATATAAGTGTTTCACATTTCATGTGGAAATCTGATTACATGATTATTATGGTATCTTATACTTCAGCCTGAAGACTAGAACAGTTACTTCTATTAGTGTAAGTGATAGAGTTTATGAATATACTATAATTGTTTGATTCACAGGAAGGTAAAAGTGACATTAATCTTATTCACTGATTTCACTTAGGTATTTTCAGTGTTCAATAAGTTTTCAAGACTTGAATTGTATGATTTGCATAGCAGAGTCATGCTGAAACAAATGTCAGATTTGTATTCAAACTTCAATACAGGTGCAAAAGAGTCCGTAAAACAGAAAAAGGGTATTATAAGTTTTAAGAAACATATTTTGTAGTATGATTTGAGCAACCAAGTTTATGTTGTAGCAGTTGTTATTGCAAATGTTATACTGCTTGATATATCTGTACTTTTAATATACATAAAATATGATAGTGAATATTGATTTTTTTTTCCTCAGCTTACTAGCTTATTTTTAATGCCCAAAAAAAACTTTTTTTTTTTTTTTTTTTTTTTTAATTGGGCATGAATGTCTTTCATTTCCCAGGCACTGTATAACCCCTAATGGGTTTGGTGCTTTCTCCATGAATGTTATAATGATAGGGAACGTAATTTTCACCACTGGTTAAGAAGAAAAGTTTAAAATGGGGAGAGAAAAACACCATCATGGAGACTGACATCGCTTGCTGGTTTAGATATATGTATGCAAGAGGTGATGCATTCCTCACTTTATGGGAGCAATATTTTCCACTGACCTTATAGTGGGAAAAAGAAGATTGTACTGCCTTTCACATTTCAGCCATGCAGTGCTGAATGATCCCACACATTGACAAATCTTTGCTGTGACTAAAGACTTGTCAACAAGAGAGTTTATTGTTCATCCAGCACCCTCACGGGGAAGCTGTGCCTTGATAGTGGTAAAACTCTCTTCATCCAGGTAACTGGAGTTACCCTTTCCTTCCTCACATTAAACAGTTACTAATTCTCCAGGTACTGATTGGCCCTTATGGGTGTAGTACTTTCCTATGCATATTATTTCCCCACAAGGGAGGTGCCTGGTTGTCGGTGAAAGGGTTTTTAATTTCCCAAAAAACTGGACCTACCCTTGCCTTCCTTGAATCGCTCTGATTGCCTCCATTTCTCCAGGGGCTATTATGGTTTAGAACTTTTCCCTCGACTAAAAATGAAAATATGACCCTTGCAAGTTAAGCTCTCCCCAGTGAATAAAATAAATAAAAATTATGTATATTTTGTTACAATAATAATCACTGGTCAACACTCCTTTTTCTGGCCAATATTACATTGATTTTTGGTTTTGTTTGACTTTTTGATAAATTTAATGTCCCATTGAAAAGCATAAAAGATGTGAAAAATATACTGATCAGAAGGGGCTAACTTACATATTGCATGAAATTATTTTTTAGATCATGCAAGTCGTATCATGTAATACACATTAGCATTTCATTCTATATAATAACAGATTAACATAGTAAGATAATTCAGATACCACTAGTTACTGCATATGAAAACTTGTATGATTTTCTTCTATGTTGGTTATTAGCATAATTTTGTTAATTGATTATTATTATAATCAAAACGAAGCGTTAAACCACTGGTCATAAACCTGCAGGGCGGAATTGATGTGGGATCTAAGGATAAGAAGGATAAAAAAGAAAACGAGGTAAATTTGGAAAGGGGCTGAAAGGGAGTGCTCCTTTTAAAGGGGGGGGCTCCTTGGGGGGGGTGAAGGGGCTTTTGGTTGAGGAATTGCCTGTCGGTCTTTTTCCTAACCGAACCTAATTACCCCCCATTCTCCCCCCCCCCCCTATCCCATCCTCCCCATCCCCCCTTTTTTTTCCTTTCCCCTCCTCCTCCCACCCTCCTTTTCCCCTTCTTTTTTTTGGGCCTTTTGGGATTTCTCCACAGGCCGCTAGTTCCTAGGTGGGGAAAGGACACCGGGGCCATCCCTTTCCGTTTGAGGTTTTGGCGGTGGCGTAGTTTGCCGTGGAATCGGGTTCCCGGGGGTTGCCCCGATCCCTCCCCCGGTATCCCGGAGTAGCTTTGGGTGTCTTTGGGGCGACGGGTGTATCTCGGAACCCACCTTTCGGTTTCCGGGGGTGGTGCCAAGGGGGTATGTTTGTGGCGGATATCCCCCGCCCTTTTCTTTTGCCCCCCGAGGTAGCTCGGCAGATGTGGGGTTGCTATCCGGATTGCGGGTTTATGGCATGAAGGGGGGGTATGGCACGGGTTCCTGCTGCATCTGCGCTACTAGCGGTTGGCTGAGGTCCTCTTGGGGCGGGGGGAATTTCGGCCCTTTCATTCCTCCGGGGAATTTTTTCCCCCCCGCTCCCCCCTTTTTTTTTTTTATTTTTATTTTCTTTTCTTCTTTTTTTTTTTTTAAAAACAAAAAGCAAAGGAGTAACCAACCAGGCAGCCCTATCCAAAACCCCACTACCCCCGGGCCCCTTTTTGATACCGCACCCCATTCTGACCCTCCCTTGTGTTTAGACCACTCTTCGGACACTCCTATGCCCTGTACCTCTTGCTGGGCTGTTTCCTCACCCGCTTCAGGTCCCGGGGCTTCGACTGACTCCTTCGATTTGTCTGAACTCCGCTCCCTTTGACTATGTTTCCGGCCCTTTCCCTCTACGGTCGGCAATTTTTTCGAATCCCCCCCCCATTTCACGCCGGACCAACTCCGGTCCTACTCCTAAACCCAACGTCAATCCCTGTGATGCCCCTTCGTTAACCTTCCCTTCTATGGGAAAAACCGACAGTCAAGCACTCCCTCCCCCCACGCTCATTTTGGCCAACAATGGACAAAAATTCTTTATTTTAAAGACCGACTTCTTCTTCCCCTCCTTTTGCCCATAGTATTGGCAAAGCGCTCCTGCGTCATGGGGTAAGATATTTCATTTCATGCTCTCAAGAGGGGTTTTGCCATCGTCACTGTCCGAATGCTCCCCAAGTCTGATCTTTCTCTCCTTTCGAATATCGATACACCTTATCACTATTGAAAACTCTTTTCTCAAT